ATTGAATGTTTGCCATGTATATGTGCATTGTAATCTGCCCTGAATCTCCTGTGGGGTGAGAAGGGCAGAATATAAATATTCTGTATGTGTGTGTGTGTATCTATATAATTAAAAATGTAATGTTCATTTGTGGGATTAACAGAACTCAAAAACCACTGGGGGAATTGACACCAAATTTGGTCACAATAGACCTAACAACCCAATGTATGTCCGTCACTCATAAAAACACTGAAAAACACAGCAGAAGGGACTTTAAAAGCCCCCAAAAGCTAAATGACAATACAGAAAAAAGGGAAGAAAGAGGTAGGGAAGGGGAGAAAAGCAAGAAAGAAAGAAAAGAAAGAGGGAGGGAGGGAAAGAAGGAAAGGGAGAAGGAAGCATGGAAGCAAAGAGAAGGAAGGAAAGAGGTAGATAAGGAAGAAAGGAGAGAAAGAGGGAGGGAAAGAAAAAGGGAGAAGGAAGGAAGGAGAGAAGGAAAGAAAAGGGGAAAGAAGGAAGGAAAGAGGGAGAGAAGGAAGGGGGAAGATGTAGAGAAAGGGGGAGGGAAGGAAAGAAGGAAAGAGAGAAGGAAAAAAAGAGGGACAGCAGAAGAGAAAGAAAAGGGGGAAGGAAAGAGATAGAGAAGGAAGGAAGAAGAGAAGGAAAGATGGGAAGGAAGGAGGGAAAGAAGGAGAAAAAGTGGGAAGGTTGGCCACAGCAATGCGTGGCGGGTGCAGCTAATGTGTGTGTGTGTGTCTGTGTGTATGCTAGAATGTCCACTTGGTGGGTCAAAGCCATTCGCAGGATGTTTGCCTCAGGTGTAAACCACATCCTCCAAAGTGTGGCTCATCTATATGGTACTTTTTGGGTACACTAAAAAAAAGATCTCTAACTTCCTGAATGAGTAGTCCTCACACCTGAGACAAGTTTCATCTGCACAGGGAAGGGGGGGGGGGTGGTAGTGGTAGCATGAAACACTGATCAAAATCGAGACAATGTGCAATCATGATTATCTAAGGCTCTTCCTGCAGTCCTGCAGAAGAGAGAGAGACGTTGCCATCCAAGCAGGCAGTGAACAGTAAACCCAAGCTGATCTTCGGTCTTTTCCTTCTCTAAATTTACAAATTTGAGGGCTGGGAAGAGATGGGAAACTTCTGCATTGGATTTGGATTATTCTTGATGTGGGGAACGATCCAGTCCGCATCCGGGGCTGGAAAAGGTAAGCAGCAAAATCTTTGGTTTGCCATTTGGTGATGTATGGTAAGGAAAGGAGGGACTGCCGATGGCAACTCATAAAGGGCATGAACTGTCAAGGATGAATCACCTGAATTTCCACCTCAGTTAAATAACATTTCTGAAGTAGAGGGCATTAGTTCCAGATCTGCAGTTAAATGACAGTTGTGAATGAAGGGTTAGAAGGCATGATTATCAAGTTTGCAGACAACACCAAATTGGGAGGGATGGCCAATACTCCAGAGGACAGGAGCAGAATTCAAAACGATCTTGACAGATTAGAGTGATGACGGGCCAAAACTAGCAAAATGAAGTTCAACAGGGACAAAGGCAAGATACTCCACTTAGGCAGAAAAAACGAAATGCAAAGATACAGAATGGGGTACGCGTGGCTCAAGAGGAGTACGTGTGAAAAATATCTTGAGGTCCTCGTGGACAACAAGTTAAATATAGCCAACAATGTGATGTGGCGGCAAAAAAAGCCAATGGGATTTTGGCCTGCATCAATAGGAGTCTAGTGTCTAGATCTAGGGAAGTAATGCTACCCCTCTATTCCACTTTGGTTAGACCACATCTGGAATATTGTGTCCAATTCTGGGCACCACAATTCAAGAGAGATATTGACAAGCTGGAATGTGTACAGAGGAGGGCGATTAAAATGATCCAGGGTCTGGAGAACAATCCCTATGAGGAGCGGCTTAAGGAGCTGGGCATGTTTAGCCTGAAGAAGAGAAGGCTGAGAGGAGATATGATAGCCATGTATAAATATGTGAGAGGAAGCCACAGGGAGGAGGGAGCAAGCTTGTTTTCTGCTGCCCTGGAGACTAGGACACAGAACAATGGCTTCAAACTACAAGAGAGGAGATTCCACCTGAACATGAAGAAGAACTTCCTGACTGTGAGAGCCGTTCAGCAGTGGAACTCTCTGCCCCGGAGTGTGGTAGAGGCTCCTTCTTTGGAAGCTTTTAAACAGAGGCTGGATGGCCATCTGTCGGGGCTGCTTTGAATGCAATTTTCCTGCTTCTTGGCAGAATGGGGTTGGACTGGATGGGCCATCAGGTCTCTTCCAACTCTTTGATTCTATGAGTCTATGATTCCTCTCTTCTCTCTTTCTGCTCTCATTCTGATCGGTTGTTTCAAATGGATCCTTTCTACTGCAACCTTTTTTTGAATCAGACTTCTGCCTTTTTCTTACATTTTAGTATGGAGCGTATGTGCTGTGTGCTTTGAGATCTCTCTCTCTGCTTGTGTGTCAGGAGAGATGTAGTGATTGGTGTTTTTCCCTGTCTTAAGAACCTTAGAAGAGATGTAGCTCAGACCCAGTTCTTGATTGTTAAGAAATTATTATTGCAGGCAATATATGCACCGTAATGCTACTTTGCATGCAAGGATCCAATCTATAGGATGCTCAGATCTGTAGCTTTGTAGGATATAATAATAATAATAATAATAATAATAATAATAATAATAATAATAATAATATCACATAGTCCTAGATGCTTGGGAAGTGTTCGACTTGTGATTTTGTGATACGAAATCCAGCATATAGATCTCATTTGCTGTAACATACTGTGCTTTTGTTTCAGTAAAATAATAGTAGTAATAATAATAGTAATAATATCACACAGTCCTAGACACTTCGGAAGTGGTCAGTTGAAACATTCACACCTAGCTCCAGCAGACAAGAGTCCTTTGTCCCACCCTGGTCTTTTCACAGATACATAAACCCAATTTCCTAGTTCCAACAGACCTCACTACCTCTGAGGAAGAAGAAGTAATGAAAGAATAGGAAGAAGGAAGAGAAGGAATGAAAAGAAGAAGAGGAAGAAGACAAAGAGAAGAAGAGGGGGACGAGGAAAGATAAGGAGGAGGAGGAGAACAGTAGAAGAAATGATGAAGAAGAAAATAAGGGGAAGAAGAGGAGGAGGAGAAGGAGAAGAAGGAATATTAGAAGAAGAAGAAACGAAAGAATAGGAAGAAGGAAGAGAAGGAAAGAAAAGATGAAGACGAAGAAGACATGGAGAAGAAGAAGAGGGTAAGGAAAGATAAGGAGGAGGAGGAGGAGAAAAGTAGAAGAAATGATGGAGAAGAAAATAAGGGGGGAAAGAGGAGGAAAAGAAGAAGGAAGAGTAGAAGAAGGAGGAGGAGAAGAAACAAAAGAATAGGAAGAAGGAAGAGAAGGAAAGGAAAGAAGAAGAGGAAGAAGAAGACATGCAGAGGAGGAGGAGGAGGAGGAGAAAAGTAGAAGAAATGATGGAGAAGACAATAAGGGGAAGAAGAGGAGGAAAAGAAGAAGGAAGAGGAGAAGAAGGAAGAGTGGAAGGAGGAGGAGAAGAAATGAAAGAATAGGAAGAAGGAAGAGAAGGAAAGAAAAGGAGAAGAGGAAGAAGACAAGGAGAAGAAGAGGAGGATGAGGAAAGATAAGAAGGAGGAGGAGGAAAAGTAGAAGAAGAGATGAGGAGAAGAAAAGAAAGGGGAAGAAAGAGAGGAGAAGAAAGAAGAGAAGGAAGAAGAGAGAGAAAAGAAGAAGGAAAGAAGGAAGAAGGAGGGAAGGAAAGAAAAAGAGGAAGAGAAGAAGGAAGAGAAGAGAGAGGGAGGAAAGATAAGGAGGAGGAGGAGGAGAAAAGTAGAACAAATGATGGAGAAGAAAATAAGGGGAAGAAGAGGAAAGGAAGGAGAAGAAGGAAGAGAAGGAGAAGAAGAAACGAAAGAATAGGAAGAAGGAAGAAAAGGAAAGAAAAGAAGAAGACATGGAGAAGAGGAGGAGGAGGAGGAAAGATAAGAAGGAGGAGGAGGAGAAAAGTAGAAGAAATGATGGAGAAGAAAATAAGGGTAAGAAGAGGAGGAGAAGGAGGAGGAGAAGGAAGAGTAGAAGAAGAAGGAGAAGAAGAAACGAAAGAAGGAAGAGAAGGAAAGAAAAGGAGAAGAGGAAGAAGACAAGGAGAAGAAGAGGAGGATGAGGAAAGATAAGGAGGAGGAGGAGGAGAAAAGTAGAAGAAAAGATGGAGGAGAAGAAAATAAGAGGAAGAAGAGGAGGAGGAGATGGGCATGAGCTTGTTTCTCGCTATTCCAGAGACCAGGATACACAAACCAATGGATTCAAGTACAAAAACAGAGATTCCACCTAAACATTAGGAAAAACATTAGGAAAAAGAAGAAGGAAGAGAAGGAGAAGAAGGAAGAGTAGAAGAAGGAGAAGAAGAAGAAACGAAATAATAGGATGAAGGAAGAGAAGGAAAGGACCTGAAAAGAGACGGATCTGCCTTCTTCGGTGGTCTTTAGACAGAGCTTGGATGGCCATCTGTCTGGAATGCTTTAGTTGCATCTTTCCGCATTGCAGAACAGGGTTGGACTAGATGGCCCTTGCGGTCCCTTTGAACTCTAGGATTCTGTAAAGACTTTTTCTCTCCTTTCTCCAGCTTACTAGTCAACTGTTTCATATCTGCCGTACTGGAAATAGTTTAACCACATGTTGGCCACAGATCGTAAATGAATGAAGTGTGATCATACCAAAACTCCTTGTACTTGCACTTTCTTTTCAAGCCAGACGTCTTTGGAGGAAGACTTCAAACGGTTCTTTAAAGGAGCAGGAAGAAGACAGAATCTCATTTCATCGAGTCTTGAAACTCGCCGACCTTTGAAAACATATATGCTGCGAAGTCATTCTTCCCAACTGTTCTCTTGCTGCTCCAAACTGCGGGTTTTACAGGGCAAGTTTCGTCAAATGACTCATCCAGGAGACTCATATTTCAGTTCTGGTAGTTTCTTGGTAGTTTCAGGACTTCAGGATGACCTATGAAGGTAAAGCAGTGCCATGAAAGAGGGCTGAATGCCATCGAATCCTGGGAGTTGTAGTTTTACAATGTCTTTGCCTTTCTCTGCCCAAGAGTGCTGGTGCATTCGGTGGTAATTGCAGTACATCTGTATACTGCCCCCACCTCATAGAATCATAGAATCAAAGAGTTGGAAGAGACCTCATGGGCCATCCAGTCCAACCCCCTGCCAAGAAGCAGGAATATTGCATTCAAATCACCCCTGACAGATGGCCATCCAGCCTCGGTTTAAAAGCTTTCCCCGTCTCATATAAAGCTTTTCTTGTCTCATGAAACAAAAGGAAAGCATTCCGTTTGCCTTTACAACTAGATAAGGATTTCTTATCTCTCTTTTCTAGCAGATGGGGTGATCTTCGGTGATCTTGAAAACTTAGAATAGTAGAATCATAGAGAGTTGGAAGACTGGGTAGCCCTTGGGGTTTCTTCCAACTCCAAGATGCTTTGATTCTTCTACTTTCTGGTGCTTCCACCCATTAGTCCTTGATGCCTGTATTCACCCTGCTTCCCTTTTCAGAAGAATGCCCCTCTCCACAAACTACTGAGTTTGCCGAGTATTTTGCCGAATGGTACATCTTGGGGACAGTGATCCGTCATGATTGTGAGGTTGGCTACAAGAGATTAGGAGGAAGTAGCAACCGGATGACCTGCGAGAATCAATCTGGCCAAGCTCAGTGGACCTGCCGGCTTCCCCCCAAGTGCATAGGTAAGAAGTGGCATTACTGGGGAATTGCATGGAGGTTTCCGAGTCAGCTCGCCACATTTTGGCTCTCCAGATGTTTTGGACTTCAACTCCCACAAATCCTAACAGCCGGCAGGCTGTTAGGAATTGTGGGAGTTGAAGTCCAAAACACCTGGAGGGCCCAAGTTGGCCCATGCCTGGTCTATATTGCCATATAATTCAATTCAAAGCAAATAATATGGCAGTGTAGAAGGGTGTCACGTTGCCAGGGCTCTGCCTTATTTAGGTAGAGCTGGATCAAACTCCCAGTTTTAACAAACAGTTTAATTAAAATAAGACTTACTTGCTGGCTGTTTTTATAGTCCAAAATATAAAACACAAAGATAGCACGCAGCTACAGAATAAACAAAAACTGATAGCAAAAATAACTTCATAGTCAAAAGGGTCCAGTCCAATGGTCAAATGCCAAGAGTTCAATAAACAAAGTCCAGGGATCAAGAGTCTATACCGTAGTCAAAAGCCAGTCCAAAGGTTCAAGGTTCCAGGATTCCAAGATTACAGGAGACAGGTCAGGATACCGAAAAATCCAACAGACCTGGGGGAAAACCAGCAGCATCCACCACCAAAATACAACAGATACTTTTCTCCCAAAGATCAGTCTCAAGGTTAGCTCCTTAAATCCAGTAACACCCAGCTGCAACCCATCTCCTGCACACCTCCACCCTTTATTGCTTTCACCCATGAACTCTTACTTACAGATTACTAAACCCTTTGGAACTAATACTTACATTAACCCTTCCATCACCAAGCACCATCAACTGCAGAACATATGACAAAGGGGCCTTGGATTGTCTTGCACTCCATCTCACATAGAAGAAGGGGCTTCAGAACTGACTAGGGTAATTGCAGGAAAAGACATCATTAGGAAGACCTTCCTGATGTTTGAGAGTGGAATATGGTGCCTGAAGGTATTATGGAGTCTCCTTCTCTTGAGGTTTTTAATCATAGGCAGGATGGCCATCTGTCAGGATTGTGTGTTTCTGCATGCCAGAGTAGTTGAACTGGATGGCCCATGTGGTCTCTTCCAACTCTATGATTCTGTTGTCCATAATGTTTGGTGTCATTGTTGGCCACTCTCCAGGATTTGGTGCGAGGGACAATCCAACCCTAACTAGAGATCTAGGTTATTGAATATGGGACTTTATATTTGCAACGTGTGCTCTGTCACAGCTTCAACACCTCCTACTAATTTGTCATTTGACCCTGAGAATGTGGCTCTGTAGCTGACCACACTTTTCTAGATCACACGCAAAGCTGCCTTATATGTATGTCCCATCAGCTTAGTTGTGGTTAAGCCAAGTGCTACCAGGAAATCCAAGGGATGGAGTGATAATACTGGGCTTAATCACACAGTTTTGAGTTGTGGGCAGTCGTCCTATGGGGGAAATGCTCTCCTCTGACAACCCCTTACCTGAATCCACCTGTTTCTTCCAAATGCCACACTGCAAAGCTACACAATCTCTGTGGTTAAAGTCTCTGACTTTAACCACAGCCGGCACACAGAAATCATCTAGGAAAGTATGCCAGTGTTTACTCAGGCCCTCCAGGTGTATTGGACTTCAACTCCCACAATTCCTAACAACCGGTAGGAGTGGCAGACTCTTAACTTCACATGTATTGTACAAACATTTTGGGCTTATTTGGCTAGCAAAGGAAATCACCTATCTTTGCATATACACAATGAATCTGATAATTACCTGGCTTGGGAAATAGCCAGAGGGATTTGCCCAACCTTTTACATTCCCAGGTGTTGTAGTAGAGTCTGCTGGCAAGGATACTACTAGTGGGAGTAGTAGAGGAGGGAAAGGAGGTGCTCAGGTGTTAGAAGAAGAACAGCAAAGGAAGAGAATCCAGGAGATACTTATGTCTCCCACAGATGAAGACTCTTTCGAGGGTTTCTCAGAGAGTGAAATGTGCAAGGAGGAGGAGGGAGATGGGAGTAGAGGTGTCAAACAGATTACTCGTGAGCAAGACTCTGACGAAGAATGTCAGAGGAAAAGGATCCAGGACATACTTAATGTTCCCACTGAAGATGAGGATTTCATGGGCTTTGCTGGAAGTAATGGATCTGGGAGTAGTGAGGATGAAGAAGAGCCATTGGATTGGACTCAAGTGCAAGAAGTCAGGAATGTGTGCATGCAACCCACATCCAGTGATACGGTTGAGGGTTTTTCTGGGGATTGGTAGTCTGGAGATACTAGGGATTCATGGGGAGACTTAAGTCTTGACAAGAGGTGGAAGAGTTGGAGAGATGGGTGTTGGCGCTCAGCTGTAATGGTTAAGACAGCTAATAGTGATGAGGAAAGGGCGGAGGGCAACTCATCAACGGATGATGAGTTGTAGGATAAGTGAAGGCACTGAAAGTATGGAACTTTGCAGTAGGCAAAGTGTTGGCTACGTGCCTTGGGTTTTGCTGCTGTCGCTTCTCTTGTTGGGCTTGGGTCCTGGAACTGCAGGTTGCTGTATTCTTCGTGTGCTGACCAGCTTGGACTCTCATAAGTGTGGATTTCCCCTCTCCTTGATCACAGACTGTTTCTGACAACAATGCTGGTTTTGGACTCTGTTATCTTCAAATGGGACTTCTTCAACCTTGGACTGATTTTGGACAACGGCTTCTCTTCACAATGTTTTGTTTTGGCTTTATCTTTGAACTGTGTGATTTTGGCGCATTTTGCTTAAACTCTTGTTTAATCCGGATTTTTGCCAGTATAATCCGGTTTATTTTCTTACTTCGTTTTTCAAGCTGCAAATTGCTGCAAACTTTGAGTTTTTGCCAGAGACACTGAAGGAAGTGTTACTGAGTCCTGTTCCCTTTGACTTAATAAACTGTTGATTTGTTTACATTACTGTGTGTGGCTCTTTAAAGGCATCTGAGTTCCAACACCAGGAGATTATCTGAACAGGGTCACAAAGGATAGGCTGTTAGGAATTGTGGGAGTTGAAGTCCAAAACACCTGGAGGGCCCAAGTTTGCCTGTGCCTGGTTTAACCTCTGGTTTGCTAGTAGAAGTGGATTAATGTGTCTCAAAAGGAAGCATGCCTAAAACATGTGTCCTCCAACATGAAAGGTTTGGAAAGCTCTGCTGTAGAACATGTTGTTGTTGTTAAAGAACTAATGCCCAGTATCATATCCACTTTATTGACCATAATAAATCCATATAGGCCTTTGCATAAGCACATATATATTTCTCACTTTAATAATTATATTCCTGCACAGCCGCTTCTGAGCTGACTCATAACTCATCCCAGAAGCTCTCAACTGAAGTGTGCGAAGGAAGTTCCAGCAGCTCCCAAATAACATCCCACCACATTATGAAAGGTAAGATAAACCATTATTTAATTCATTTTAAAATTATTTTTAGATTGATCCTCCTTCCCCATTAGATGGCATCAGGGCAAGAAATAGGAAGCCAGTCAATGCTAAAAAAATAAATAAATAATGTTGACATTCTTTCACTATATTAAAACAATTCATCACAGTCAAATGACAAAAGAATAAGGCATGGTGGCTTCTTTGCTAATGTAATGATCATTTTGATCTGGGTTTTAGCCTGAAGTTTAAGGGTGCATCTACACTGTACAATTAATGCAATTCGGTACCTGTTCAACTTCCAAAGGCCAGTATAGTGGAAGCATGGGAACTGTAGTTTCATTCGTAGTCTTGAAGCCCTCAGTGGAGAAGTGGGTAAAACCGCTGAGTTGTTGAACTTGCTGACCAAAAGGTCACAGGTTCAAATCTGGGGAAGCGGCGTGAGCTCCCGCTGTTAGCCCCAGCTTCTACCAATGTAGCAGTTTGAAAACATGTAAATGTGAGTAGATCAATAGGTACCAATCCAGTGGGAAGGTAACTGCACTCCATGCAGTCATGCTGGCCACATGATGTTGGAGGTGTCTATGGATAACACCGGCACTTCGGCTTAGAAATGGAGATGAGAACCAACCTCCAGAGTCAGATACGACTGGACTTAATATCAGGGGAAAACCTTTACTTTTACCTACAGTCCTTAGGGACCATGGTGGCACAGTGGGATAAACCGCTAAGTTGCAGAACTTGCAGATCGGAAGGTCAGCGATTTGAATCTATGGACGGGATGGACTCCTGCTGTTAGCCCCATCTTCTGCCAACCTAGCAGTTCAAAAACATGCAAATATGAGTAGATCAATAGGTACCGCTTCAGCAGGAAGATAAACAACCCTCCATACAGTCATGCCACCATATGACCTAGGAGGTGTCTATGGACAACGCTGGCTCTTTGGCTTAGAAATGGAGATGAGCACCACCCCCAGAGTCAGACTTGACTAGACTTAATGTCAAGGGGAAACTTTTCCCTTTACAGTCTTTAGCCCTCTCTGCCAAAGAGTGCTGGTACCTCCCCAAACTGCAATGCCATAGCATTGAGCCATGCTGAGTGAAAGTTGAGCCATGTTGAGTGAAAGTTGAGTCACAACTGCATTAATTCTACAGTGTAGATGCACCCTAAGAGACTGAATTGAGTCTCCCAAATAGGCTCAGCACCTTGGATAGCTCCTTGAAAGGTTGGGCTGAAATTCTTTAGGAATGCCTTCCAACTCCATGATTCTTTGTTTCAGATGGATGCAGACTCCCCAGGCCCCTCAGCCATGCCACGGTCAAGGTGATTAAGTATCTTGTGGGACAAACACTGCAGTACAGATGCCTGGATGGATACCACGCCTGGACCCCCATCTCTGGAAACAGCACTTGCCAGGATTTCAACGGGAAAGGAGTGTGGTCCCGCTTATCTCTGCGCTGCGCCAATGATAGTACTAGTGTCATTACCGAAGGGGCACCAAACCCCTCCCTCAGCTCAGGTAAGAAGTATTAGCGCTAGCAGAAGGATCACAGAAGCTCAGAATAATGGACTCTGGAGTCACCAATAAAAAGCAGGTTTCAGCTTTACTTGAGCAGTTCATAAATCCAATACACACCATCAGCGAGCAGACATGAAGAAGACAAAGCGAAAAAAGATTGGCACAAAAGACAAACTGCAGCTGGAAAGGAGTTATCTCTGACACTCCCTAATTCTTCACACAGCAAGAACTCAGGGTCACATTCTCACAGCTCTTTTGTGTAAACATACATCCTGGCCATACAAATCTATTACAATCACTGTTCTCCTATATAAAATTACATTTAAACATACATCACACATCATACATGAAATACACACTGACAAGAAGAAGGTTAGAGAGAGCAAGTGTTAGTTCATAAGACACATCCTGGCAACAAATCGATTCATTTAATAATACAGACATTATAAAACTTTCCAATTATAATTCTAGTATAACTAGGTATGCCTAATCTATATAAATACAAATGTAATGTTCATTTGTGGGATTAACAGAACTCAAAAAACATTGGGTGAATTGACACCAAATTTGGACAGCATACACCTAACAACCCAATGTATGTCCTTCACTCAAAAATGTTTGATTTTGTCATTTAGGAGTTGTAGTTCTTGGGATTTATAGTTCACCTACAATCAAAGAGCATTCTGAACTCCACCAATGATGGAATTGAACCAAATGTGGCATACAGGACTCTCATGACCAACAGAAAACACTAGAAGGATTTGGTGGGCATTGACCTTGAGTTTTGGAGTTGTAGTTCACCTACATCCAGAGACCACTGTGGACTCAGACAATGATGGATCTGGACCAAACGTGGCACGAATATTCCATATGCCCAAATATGAACACAGATGGAGTTTGGGGGAAATAGACCTTGACATTTGGGAGTTGTAGTTACTGGGATTTATAGTTCACTACAATCAAAGAGCATTCTGAACCCCACAAACGACAGAATTGGGGCAAATTTCCCACGCTGAACCCCATGACCAACAGAAAATACTTAAGGCCATCCAGCTCAACTCTCTTCACCAGGGCAAGAAAATCTAATCAAAGCCCTCCTGACAAAGAACCATCCAGATAGATATATGTGATTCACACACACACACAGATATAATATCATAGATCTAGCTGACTATATACTCCAAGATTATGTGAGTGAAAGGAAAAGTTACTATAGGACGGGACAAATCGGAAAGACCTGGGAGGCAAAATGGAAGGATCTCGTTTCCAGAATAAAGGGGAAAGATAAATATAAGGAGTTAAATAAAACCATACTCATGATTGAACAATTGTAATAAATATAGCAAGAGTAGTAAACTATTCCTGGGCAGGGGAGGGGGGAGATGGGGAGGGGGGTGGCAGGATTGGGGAAAATACTGCTATTTTGACTGCTTATTTTGAAGATTGTATGGTTCTATGTATGATACAATAAATATATATATATTTTTTAAGTAATGCAAGGAGCTCCCAGGAAATGAGAAGAATAACATATCTGCAAAATAAAATTGGTGTATAAAGGAACCAAACGTGGGACTTCTTTCCTCAGTGGAAAGTGTTCTGTGTTTCAAAAACACTGGCTTTCCTTTCCTTTTTACTCTGAAATAGAGTCCTACCACTCTCCTTGAGAACTGGTTATTTCTGTTTAACTTATATTCTGTTCTTATGCAACTGTTCCTCGCTTACCTCCTTCTCCTTCATCAGAAGAATATGAGCACAGAGGCAATGGTTCCCAAAGCACATCAGAGCAAGTCATGGAAGGTAACATAGATTCTTATTTAATTTGTTCATTCATGTATTTGTTTACATCTTCTCTAACATTGCACAGATGGAAATGTGTGGCCAGATAACATCAGAGTGGGGTCAAGATGGCAAAAATTATATATGAGAAAGAACATATAAACTAGGGGATGTTGCAGCATTTTCTGGAGGACCTAGAAGATGCCTAGAATTGACATATTATTTTGTGAGATGTGGATAAATGAATCGGTGGATACTGGCCCTGTGGATATGGGGATCATACTGTGCATGTTTCCCATCCTCTATCTGAGGATATCCCAATGTAAACAAAATCAGTGTTGCCTGACCTCTGGACTGCTTTGATCACGATAGGTGTTTGGAAAAGCAACCATCACTGGACCCCACTCAGTTGAACAACTTTTGGCCAGCCGTGGTCTCCTTAGTGGAACTTGACAAGGGGAGTGTGTCCCTCTTGGTTCTTTTGGACCTCTCAGCTGCCTTCGATACCATAGACCTGATGGGAATCAGCCTGTGTTTGTATTTCAGAATCCTGATGTGGGAAATGATGAGGGAAATTATGAGAGAAATGATGGTCCTGAGGCTGAGGCACAAAATGGAGATGATTTGGTCAATGATTTTCAGGCAGATAATGACAGAGAGGCCCCAGTGCAAAGGGCAGTTTCTCATGAGACTATTCCTGCTGGGCCTAGCAATGATAGTTCACTCCCTCTCTCTGTGAGCTCTCAAGATTTGGGTTTGGAAAACAATCTGACACCTGCGAATTTTAATGAGCAGCCAGATAGGTAGCTGAAGAACAGGTGGCTGGAAATTAGCCAGGATCGACAGCAAACTCAGTCACTCTGAAAGTGTTTGTCTGATAAGGGGAAAATGTGGGGGGAAGCAAAAACAATTTCTGAGTTTTGGGATAAAAGGTTTGCCTCAAGGGGAAACCTGTTAGATCAGGCATTGTTTGGAAATCAAGTTCATGTGCCATGGAAATCCTGTTCAAGGGGTCTTGCTCTTGTGGAGTTTTTTAGCCTTTTGGATTGTCTTTGCTTCCTGTTGATTCCTGTCTGGTTAAATGCTGTCTTGAATTGCTTTGTCTGGTTAGATGCTGTCTTGGATTGCTTTGATTTCTTGTGTGGACATTGCATTGGGTTACTGCCTTTTATGGACTTATTACTTTTTGGAACTATCTTATTTTCTTACAAGCACTTGTTTCTTCTGGCTATTTACTAAGTTGCAATAAGAGAAGATTTGTTCTTCACTCTTCGTGTGGTGTGTTTTAAGGTCAGAGGGCTCTTTCCTGACCTGGAGTGCAACAAGACCATGGTATCTTTCTGAGATGCCTCGCAGGAATGGGCTTAGGTTGCGCTGTGTTGCAGTCACTCCAGTCCTTCTTAGAGGGTCAATCTCAGAAGGTGTTACTGGGTCAATCTCAGAAAGTGTCCACCGAAGTCAACATTGACACCGAAATACAACACCGCCTGACCTCTGTGAGTGCAGCATTTTCCCGAATGAAGCAGAGAGTGTTTGAGGACCGGGACATCCGTAGGGATACCAAGGTGCTTGTCTGCCTTTTATGAACTTATTACTTTTTGGAACTATCTTATTTTCTTACAAGCACTTGTTTCTTCTGGCTATTTACTAAGTTGTCCTCCCAACCCTGCTATATGCCTGCGAAATGTGGACTGTCTACAGACGTCACATGCAACTCCTGGAACGATTCCATCAGCGCTGCCTCCGGAAAATCCTGCAAATCTCTTGGGAAGACAGGCGGACAAACGTCAGCGTGCTGGAAGAAGCAAAGACCACCAGCATTGAAGCGATGGTCCTCTGCTATCAACTCCACTGGGCCGGCCACGTTGTCCAGATGCCCGACCACCGTCTTCCAAAGCAGTCGCTCTACTCTGAACTTAAGAACGGAAAATGGAACGTTGGTGGATAGGAAAAGAGATTTAAAGATGGCCTCAAAGCCAACCTTAAAATCTCTGGCATAGACACTGAGAACTGGGAAGCCCTGGCCCTTGAGCAATCCAGCTGGAGGTCAGCTGTGACCAGCAGTGCTGCAGAATTCGAGGGGGCACGAGTGGAGGGTGAAAGAGAGAAACGTGCCAGGAGGAAGGCGCGTCAAGCCAACCCCGACTGGGACCGCCTTCCACCTTGAAACCAATGCCCTCACTGTGGGAAAAGATGCGGGTCAAGAATAGGGCTTCACAGCCACCTACGAATCCACAAGGAAACCCATCATGGAAGACCATCTTACTCGTCAAACGAGGGATCGCTTAAGTAAGTAAGTAAGTAAGTAAGTAATGAATATATGAGCGAAGGAAGATAGATGCTTTTGAGCTGTGGTGCTGGAGGAAAGTGCTGAGAGTGCCTTGGACTGCGAGAAGATCCAACCACTCCATCCTCCAGGAAATAAAGCCCGACTGCTCACTGGAGGGAAGGAGACTAGAGACAAAGTTGAAGTACTTTGGCCACATCATGAGGAGACAGCAAAGCCTGGAGAAGACAATTATGCTGGGGAAAGTGGAAGGTAAAAGGAAGAGGGGCCGACCAAGAGCAAGATGGATGGATGGCATCCTTGAAGTGACTGGATTGACCTTGAAGGAGCTGGGGGTGGTGATGGCCGACAGGGAGCTCTGGCATGGGCTGGTCCATGAGGTCACAAAGAGTCGGAGACGACTGAACGAATGAACAACAACAACACCATATATGGTGTATTTGGAAGGGTTTTAAGTCTGTTCCGCTGGGGTTTTGTGTATATGTTTATGTGTGTGTTTACGATTGATGAACACTCGTTGGCCTGATAGGCCTTTGTATTGTGTCCAAATTTGATGTCAATTTGTCAAGTGGTTTTTGAGTTATGTTAATCCCACAAATGAACATTACATTTTTATTTATATAGATACTGAGCAGAGATATGATCTCTTCATTCAACTCTTTGTTTCTTTCAGCAACTGTGTTGATTATTGCTGTCATGATTGCTGCCATCCTTTTATAAGGAATCCTGATAAGAATGTGTGGTAAGTAGCAACAGCATACATCAGCTGCATCTTTGTGCATAAACCGCCTCCTATCACAGTCTGTTGATAATCCTGTATTTTAATGTATTTTTCCAAGTTAAAGAAAGACACTTGAAGATTGTTGAAAAGCTCCATTCCCAATTGGATGAAATTGTCTGGAAATTCAGAGGAAGGCAATTGGAGGTCCAATGATTCTGATTCAGGATCCTATGTCTGCATTGAGATCTCAGAAGCTTGGATCTGAGTTATAATGAATGGCTGCAGTACGGTGCCCTTTCAAGGGTGGCACCACTTCTATAGACCTTGCTCTTTAAACATGTTCATTTTGCTAATTGATACTTGCCCGCAAGGAAGTCCTCTCCACAAGAGTTTGCTGGAAATCTTTCTCTTTCCCCTGATTCTGTTGTTTTGTTTGTACAATCGTATTTGTCACCTTAGAGTCTTCGATAGGAAAGTGGGTTAGAAATATTTTAGTGGGTAAATCATGAACTAATCTTTGGATTCGTTCCAATCCCTATTTGGCCAAGGAAACCTACTGAGTGACCTTGGGCAAGTGAGTTGACATGCAGGTAAATATGATTCAGGGATCATGACTAGCCATAGGATTTTAGTCCACTATGAAAATGAGGAATATATATATATATACACGCACACACACACACACACACACATACACATACACACACACACAAATATGCAAGGCAATGCTCTCACCCTAAGATTCCTCCTCCTTGCCCTGAGTATCAGAGAGTTCAGAGCCAGAGATCTGGCTGCCCAGCTCTCTATTGATTTAGTTCAGTGGTTCCCAACCTGTTGTCCATGGACCACTGGTGGTCCGCAACAACAAAAATATGGTCCACAGACTAACCATTGCTGCACCATTGCTTCAAAATCACGTGGCTGGTCTCACAAAACTCCTTATGTGCCAAGGTAACGGGGATGCCGGGAGGGGAGAGGCTGACTACCCACAAAAGATTATTACTACTACATCAGATCTAGATTATTAAATATGGTTTTCTGTGGACGAGCAGATGGCAACTACTGAATGGCATATATTCTGGATCAGAAACTAGAGCTGATGTGGTCTATCCAATGCAATTTTCTTAATCAGCACACCAAATAACCAAACCAAATCTAAAGTTGACCAAAAACTGATTCGTAATCCTTTTGGAATTGATGTTGTAGAGTGGTCCCTGTTCAAGTGGGCAATGGTCAAGTGAGCCATGGTCAAGTGGGCCCTGGTCAAAGTTGGCCCTGGTCAAGTGGGCCCTATTCAAGTGGTCCCTGGACAAGTGGGTCCTGGTCAAAGACGTCCCTGGTCAAAGTGGGCCCCGGTCAAGTGGGCCCTGTTCAAGTGGTCCCTGGACAAGTGGGCCCTGTTCAAGTAAGCCCTGGTCAAGTGGGCCCTGGTCAAGTGGGCCCTGTTTAAGTGGGCCCAGGTCAAGTGGGCCCAGGTCAAAACTATCCCTGGTCAAAGTGGGCCATGGTCAAGTGGGCCCTGTTCAAGTGGGCCCTGTTCAAGTGGGCCATGGTCAAGTGGGCCCTGGTCAAAGTGGGCCCTGGTGGTGGGCCCTGGTCAAATGGGCCCTGGTCAAGTGATCCCTGGTCAAGTGGGCCCTGTTCAAGTGGGCCCTGGTCAAGTGGGCCCTGGTCAAGTGGGCCCTGGTCAAGTGATCCCTGGTCAAGTGGGCCATGGTCAAGTGGGCCCTGGTCAAGTGGGCCCTGGTCAAAGTCATCCCTGGTTAAAGTGGGCCCTGTTCAAGTGGTCCCTGTTCAAGTGGTCCCTGGACAAAGTGGGCCCTTGTCAAGTGGGCCCTGGTCAAAGTGGTCCATGGTCAAAAAAAGGTTGGGAACCACTGATTTATTGATTAGTTTAAGATTTGAGGAAAGGGTTTAATGGAACAGTAAAGACTTAGTTGTTGAATACCTTCAAGTTGTTTCCAGCTTACGGTGACCCTAAGATGAAGCTATCATGCAGTTTTTGTTGGTAAGATTTGTTCAGAGCAGAGTTGCCTCTGAGAGTAAGACAGTGAGACTGCCCAAGATCAACCAGAGCATTTCCATGACTGAGCTGGTCTCCAAAGTTGTCACGCAACACTCAAATTCAGGGTGAAAGCATTGCCTTGCAAATTTGTGTGGATATATATTTTCCTAATTTTCATCATGCTAGTTCCCTCTCTAATGAAGGTGTGGTCTGGATTTTATGTATGAAGTTATGTAACATACATGGAGGTATAGGAATACAGCATAGACGATACAGGATTTATGCAAAATCCCTACAGTCCAAACTCTGATTGCTCCAAAGCCTTGGAATTACATTTGCAGACTGTGCCATCCCTCACTGCTTCTGAATCTCAGTAAAAAAAAACCTTCTTGCTTTTCAAGTATTTGTAGATTTTAGTTTAATATTGTTTTATAATCTTGCGTAATTTGCTTGTTTGTATTATATTGAATTGGATTTTGGGGAGTGGGGTTGCATTCCAGCCTGGGTGATTTGTTGGACAATTGCAGTGCAGAGTTTTACATTTGTATTAGTCCTTTATTCGCTTTTGTATGTGTATTCAATTGTGTGCCTTTTGCAGGACTGGCTGTTTTGTTTTGTTTGTGGTCGTTATAAAAAAGCATACATACATTTTTTTTTTATGTCAGGAGCGATTTGAAAAACTGCAAGTTGCCTCTGATGTGAGAGAATTGGCCATCTGCAAGGACGTTGCCCAGGGAACACCTGGATGTTTTGATGTTTTACCATCCTTGTGGGATGCTTCTCTCATGTCCCCGCATGAGGAGCTGGAGCTGACAGAGGGAGCTCATCCATGCTCTCCCCGGATTCGAACCTCCAACCTGTCAGCTTTCAGTTCTGCTGACACAAGGGTTTAAACCCATTGCGCCATTGGGGGCTCCGCATACATGTTGATGAATAATATAAATAAATAATTCCCGCAAAGTGAAATGACTTGTATTCTGTATGCTTTCCTGATGTAAAAATGTTTGTGAGGTTCCAAATGCTCTTTGGTTGTAGGTGAACTATAAATCCCAGCAACTAAAACTCTCAAATGACAAAATCATGTTTTGTGTGTGAAGGACATATATTGGGTGGTTAGGTGTCTTGTGTCCAAATTTGGTGTCAATTCGTCCAGTGGTTTTTGAGTTCTGTTAATCCCACAAACGAACATTACATTTTTATTTATATAGATTTTATTAATGTCAAGAAGTCCTGGGTGTCATCAAAGAAAGGATTTGGTGTCAAACTGCATTAATTCTACAGTGTGAATGCACCCTATCTCTGAGTGATCAATTCTTACAAAATGGAAGACCATTGAAACAGTCATTTTGCCTATTACAGACTCCTGAGTCTAGTGTTTTTATTCGCGTGGACAGTCGTGGTCAAAGAGGAGGATGGAATTCCGATTATAGAACTCGGCCAGCTTGTCCTCCAACTGCCCCAAAGTGAGAGTGTAGACTACGTTCTCGTCATTCCTGGCAATGATGGCCCAGGATCTCATGTGATTGTTATCTACGACGCAACAGGCCGCCGACCACATGTAGCTGGGCTTGTTGACCCTCCCTCCAGCAATGTAGTTGTTCCCCGGCACGGCTCCCACCACGGCAAAGGTCTCGCGGCACCCCTCCGTGTTCCTCGCCATGGTCGTCTGCTCGTAGTTGTTCCAGGTGCCGCCGTTGAGCTTGATGTTCTGGGGCACGATGTTGGTCAGGCTGAAAGTGGAGGCCTTGGCATCCCGGTCGGGCTGGTGGCCGTTGGGGTTCAGGTGCCCCCGGTTGAGGTCGGTCAGGTTCTTGTAATCTTGCAAAACGGCCTGGCTGTTCCGAAGCGCCTGTTCTTTGGAACTGCTGTCGTATAGGAAGGATCCTTCCGATTCCATTTCATTTTGGAGGGTTGAATCAACAAGCTGTAGAGAAAAAAGGGGTTTAGATCAGGCATGGGCAAACTTGGGCCCTCTAGGCATTTTGGACTTCAACTCCCACAATTCCTAACAGCTGGTAGGAATTGCAATTAGCAATCAAGCTTTCTAATTGCAACATTAACATTTGCTTCTGGTTGCTTCTGGACCAAGGCAGTGACATTATTATTATTATTATTATTATTATTATTATTATTATTATTATCTTTATTTATACCCCGCAAAATCTCCCAAAGGACTCGATGCAGCTTACAAAGTCCAAGGCCGCCGACAACACAACATACACAATAAACACAATAAACTCATAAGCAAATAATAAAACATCAAGCAAAACGATAAGACAGTAAAACAATGACACCGTGACGTAATTAAAAACCAAAGGCCGGGCCAAATGTAATGGACAAAATTTTAAAAGTGCTGAGCTTGACAGGTAATATGTAAAGGTGTTGGAGGGAGGCAGGTGCAATGTGCAGATAATCCTGAATCTCTAGCAAGGTGCATTTGGGACTTGAGGCCAGGAGTTTCCTATTCTGGAAAGGCACACTGGAACAGCCAGGTCTTCAGGCTCTTCCTAAAGACAGCCAACGTTGGGGCTTGTCTGATATCCTTGGGGAGAGAGTTCCAGAGTCGGGGGCTACCACAGAGAAGGCCCTGTCCCTTGTCCCCACCAAACGTGCCTGCGACACAGGTGGGATCGTGAGCAGGGCCTCCCCAGATGATCGGAGGGAGCGTGCGGGTTCGTAAACGGAGATGCGGTCACGCAGGTAGGCAGGTCCCAAACCGTTTAGGGTTTTGTAGGTGAGTACCTGCACCTTAAATTGGGATATCTCTAGCTCATCCCTTGTTTGGGTACCAGCCAGCACGTCAACGACTTAAATCAAGAAATAGTTTTCTAAGATCTACAGAGACACTCGCTGGAACACCCCAGCAAGCGAGAGTCCAAAAGTGGCAGGCTCAAACCCATAACCTCAAATAATGGCTGATACCAAATGAGAGACTCCCACAATGGGCACACAGAAGACTGGGCAACTTGGAAGGCGCTGAACAGACCGCGCTCTGGCACCACGAGATGCAGAGCCAACCTCAAGAAATGGGGCTACAAAGTGGAGTCCATGACATGTGAGTGTGGAGAAGAGCAAACCACCTGCTGCAATGCAACCTGAGCCCTGCCACATGCACAATGGAGGACCTTCTTACGGCAACACCAGAAGTACTCCCAAGTGGCCAGATATTGGTCAAAGGACATTTAATCAACTACCAAGCTTGTAAACTTTGTGTTTTGTTTGTTTGTTTTGTTAAAAATGTAATACAAATGTCTGGTTAATCCTGACACGATAAATAAACATTTGCTTCAAACAGACAAGAATTCTTTCTCCCACCCTGGACATTCCGTAGATATATATACACTCCACTTGCCTCATTTCCAATAAACTTCTCTGAACAAACCTCTGAGGATGCTTGTCACAGATGCAGGTGAAATGTTAGGAGAGAATGCTACTGGAACATGGCCATACAGCCCAATGAAACTCACAGCAACCCAGTGATTCTGGCCATGAAAGCCTTCGACAACACATTTACATAGTGATTACAATGTGGCAAAGGGAGCAATGGGTGTTATAATGGGGCAAGAAGATGCCAATAGTAGGAGCAGCTCCTGACTCAAACATCTTGTTCCGCCACACTTAATATACACATAAATGAACAACAGAGAGAGGTGTTTAGCCAGAACACTCTGGAACCCGTCTTTCTTTTCTTACCTGGGGTTCAACCATCCAAGTATTTGGTCTCTTCGCCGTCCCAGGGTTGTAGATGTAGGCTGAGTACACCGGGATGCGGTTGTCTTTGTCGTACAGCGTGGCGTAGCGATACTGATTCTTGTAACGCTGGCAAATCCGAGCAGGGCGCGAAGGCACAAGCCCAAGACTTGGAGGGACTCCTCGGAAGAAGAAGTGGGGACAGGTGTCCTCAAAAGAAGTCACCACCTCGCCGTTCCCTGGAGTGCCGTACCAGCTCACGCCAATGAGGAGCAACGCCAGCAACATCCTGTGCAGCTGATGAAATGGCATTGAGAGGAAGCAAGAGTCAGAAAATGGGGCAGTCCTATAGCAGTGTGTTGCTGTAGGCTTTTTGGGCAGTATGGCCATGTTCTTGAAGTATTCTCTCCTGATGTTTTGCCTGCATCTGTGGCAGGCATCTTCAGAGGACCTCACAACCTCTGAGGATGCCTGCCACAGATGCAGGCAAAATGTCAGGAGAGAATGCTTCTAGAACATGGCCATAAAGCCCGAAAAACTTACAACAACCCAGTGATTCCAGCCATGAAAGCCTTCGACAATACATAGTCCTATAGCAGATGGAGGTCTGGACTGCATTGTTTCTTCTCCTTTTCATTTATGGTGGCACCTAGGAAGCTTAGGAGAGCGAGGAAGTCCAAATGGCTCCAACTCACAGTACATACCAGTTCTAAGACTACCCATACCTTAAATAGGGCTCCACAGTCACCTACGGACCCACCCCCAGGATACCACTCTTGGAGGACCATCATCCTCGGACTTCAAGAGATTGCCTAAGTCAGTGGTTCTCAACTTGGGGTCCCCAGATGTTTTTGGCCTACAACTTCCAGAAATCCCAGTCAGTTTACCAGCTGTTAGAGTTTCTGGAAGTTGCAGGCCAAAAACATCTGGGGACCCCAGGTCGAGAACCACTGGCCTAAGTATACCTTAAATCCTTCACTGAGGATTTAAGGTCCATTTGGATTTTGGAAGGTGCCTCCTCCCAGGCTTCAAAAGCAATCTTGTTCCACCTTGTAACACTTATCCTGCAGGTCCTGCTTCCACGAGCCTCTCCAGTAGAAAAATTCCTACCTGGAAACAAGGAAAGTTACCACCAGTTGAGATAGATGGGTTCTCAACCTTTGGGCCTCCAGGTGTTTTCCCAACCTTTGGGCCTCCAGGTGTTTTGGACTTCAACTCCCAGGAATCTCAGCCAACTTACCAGCTGTTAGGAACTGTGAGAGCCTGGAAGCCCACAGGCTGGGAACAATCTGGACCATCTGCTCAACTCTGCATACATTGGAAAGCAACGGATAGCTATTCTTTTTGGATAAGCTCTTTTGCCAAGGGCTCAGCAGCCTGAACTGTGAAGTTAAGCCATCCTCTCCATTTAACTCACATGATCTTTTAGCAAGGGCCACATCCGACCACATTTCCTTAATAGCAGTGTAAACTGGTTTAATAATATCACTAGAAAACAATGCAAAGGATCCTGCTTTATTGGTGTGGTGAGGACTCACAGCTGGCTTTGTCATGAAGCACAATGCACCCCATTGCTTAGTTGCATATGCCATTGGCGAACAACTCTTGCCACCAGGAAGTTTTCCCAAAGGTTTAGGTGGAATTTCTTTTCCTGCTATTTGAATCAATTGCTCGGTTGTGGCTGTTGTATGTCAGCCTGTTCAGCCTGTGGTTGTGTCTGATGCTCATGATGGGAATGATGTTCATGATGATGTTCATGTTGGGAATGATGTTAACATTAATGTGCATAATGGGAATGGGGATGGTGTTCCTGATGATGGGCCTGGGGATACAGGTTTGCCTGGGCCAGAGTTAAGTTCGGAAGAGAGGCTTGAGTAAGGCCACATTCCTGAGAAAGACCTTTCACCGCTTTTCTCAGAGCAACAGCCTAAAAATGATGCTGAGGTTGTTTTGCCAGGTGCAGAGAGAGAGAGAATAGTGAAACCTTGGACAGAAAACAAAGTTGTAGAAACCGAGGCAGAACTTTCACAATCTCAGGAATTCTGTTCTTTTACAGCAAAAGAAAGATAAAAGAAAGCTGTTATCTAGTGGGAAAATGAGAATGAATGCTTATCTTTCAGTTTTAGACTCTGCAAAGGGTTTATAATGATTCATGGGAGACAAGCGCCTCAGTCGAGTCAACTTTGTTATTTCATATCTGTCTTGCTTTCAAGTGCTCTACATTTCATGCATCAAGTGGTTGCGAAGTTTAAGTTTTTGTCTGAAAGTTCCTGCTGATTTGTCTCGTGGTTTCAAGTGCCTTGCTTCATGGATTTCTATGTACAAATAGACCTGGTTTCCCATTAAAGTTTATGGATTATCTTAGATTTAGGACTTTTACTATTTTGCTATTTTTTACTGCTTTGCCTACATATATTCTACAATAAACGGCTTGCTGATTTCACCAAACTGGTGTGGTGCTTCAAGTCAGAAGTGTTCCTGCTCTAGAGTACGACAGTGGTTTTGTCTCTAGGCAGTGGTTCTCATCCTTTGGTCCTCCAGATGTTTTGGACTTCAACTCCCACAATTCCTAACATCTGGTAGGATAGCTGGGATTTCTGGGAGTCAAAACAACTGGAGGACCAAAGGTTGGGGGTCACTGCACTAGCACCAGAAAAAGCTGGCTCCATCTTCAACACGACATCCTTCTAAATATTTAAACATCCCTCTTATGTCCCGTCGTAGCCTTCTCTTCTCCAAGCTGAACATATGCAGGTCCATGAACTATTCCTCATAGGCTTGCACAGGAGAAGGCAGGTACACAAAGCACAACATAAAACTTGTATAACCTTTACCATTTCACAAGTAAAAGCCAGGATAAGTATGGTAGTAAAAGTTATGAAGAATATGCAAGCTAGGAGAGGCCACAGCCGTTTGCTTTTTCCTGAGCCTAGTGGGAAGTCAATTGAGCAGGAACCGCTTTTCCATTTTGAACTCAATTATCAGCAGTTGAAGTAAGCTGAGGACAAAGAGGCAATGTGGGGGGAGGGGGGAGAAACTGGGATGCTTGATAAGCAGCTAAAAAGATGGGATAACAGAGAATTAATCAGGACTATTCCTGCCAAATTGAGACATTTGAAAGGCAAAGACCAGGCATGGGCAAACTTCAGCCCTCCAACTGTGGGAGTTGAAGTCTAAAACACCTGGAGGGCCAAAGTTTGCCCATGCCTGGCATTGACTCTTGTACTTTTGGCTGGAAGGGAGGAGACGTTAATGGGTTATGCTTCCAACCCTTGCTTACTCCATAGGTGGCCTGCACACATTGCACAATTATAGCAATTTAATGCTTCTTTAATTGCTCTATAGAATTCTGGGATTTGTAGTTGGTGAGGCAGCAGGATACTCTGACAGAGGTGGCTTGTAAGTGTGGGAAACACCAGAGATCACACTACAAAATTTCCTGTAATTTCTAAATGTATGTTTTCTTGTTTGCCACACTTTCTGTTTTGTTTTGCTTTATCTTACATTGCAAAGTTAGGCACCACAGTTAACATAGTGGGTTAACCCACCAGCTGCAGGAAATCTTGCCAACTGGAAGGTTGGCAGTTCAAAGCCATGGGTCAGGGTAAGCTCCCGCCGTCAGCCCTAGCTTCTGCTTACCTAGCAGTTCGAAAACAATCATGTGAGTAGATCAATAGGTACTGCTTTGGCGGGGAGGTAAAAGGCACCCATGAAGATATATCAGCAATTCAATCAGGAAGGTGTCCACGGACAACAGGATCTTCGGCATGGAAAAATTGAACAATAGCACCTCACCATGGCCAAGTCGAGCACAGCTCTAGATGCCGGAGATGAAAAAGAGGGAAGCCTTGCCTCTGCCTGTGTATTGTCTGTCTTTGTTGATTGTATAACGGTTTTGAATGTTTGCCATATATGTAGTCTGTAATCCACTCTGAGTCCCCTCGGGAAGATAGAACGGGATATAAATAAAGTATAATATAAAAGTTTATTTGGACAGGGATGAATTTTAAACCATGCAAGTTCCCAGGCCTTGCTACACTGGTTCGTTCCTTCCCAGAATTGAACTTTTTGTGTCTCCTTATGTTTCCTCCTCAGTCAATGCCACTCAGTGACAAACTCTGTACACAGAGAATTAATTGAAAGATCGCAACTAATAGTCTCCTATGAATTTACTTAAGTGTCGTTAAAAGACTGTGTGTACTGCTATATAAATACATAGGGGTTGTTAAGACAGACAGGTGTCGTAATGAAAGTTTAAGTGCTGGGGATGCATTCTCCAAAACAAATGATTAACTAGCATCTTGGATGACTTTTTAAAAGCCACCTGTTCACATAGGGTTTCCTTAGGCAAGGAACTGAGTTGTTCCTCCATATCTTTGCATCCTGCATCAACTCAACCAATCATCGTGCAAGAATATTTGGGGGGAAAGGATTCCAAAAAGCAAGCCTTGGTTTTACCGTACGTTAAGCTTTGTTGTTGCTGTTGCTGTTGTTGTTTTAGTGTCAGGAGCAACTTGAGAAACTGCAAGTCGCTTCTGGTGTAAGAGAATTGGCTATCTGCAAGGACATTGCCCAGGGGACGCCCGGATGTTTGATGTTTTACCATCCTGTGGGAGGCTTCTCTCATGTCCCCATATGGGAAGCTGTAGCTGACAGACAGGAGCTCACCCTGCTCCCCAGATTCCAACTGCTGACCTTTCAGTCAGCAGTCCTGCTGGCACAATGTTTTAACACATTGCGCCACAGGGGCTCCTTAAATCAAGCTGATGTGACGGGATGCACTTTCCTAGATTTCATAGATCCTCAGGATCTCTCCAACACCCATTTTATATAAAGGACATCATTTTGCCAAGTCGTTATGTATAACGAGACTCGAGCATCCATGAATCTTGGTATCCACAGGGAATACTAGTGGATACTGTGGGTCACTGTATGCAAAATGATGTCCTTTATATAAAATGGGTGTTGGAAAGATTCTGAGGATCTATGAAATCTAGAAAAGTTTTGCCAGTTCCTTCTCGTGAAATATAGTCTCCAGTGCTTGGTATTCATTGGCGGTCTCCCATTCACGCACTAACCAAGACTGGCCCTCCTTAGCTTCACATTTATGCTAGCAAAATTCAGTGAGATTGATAAACACTGTCAGTCATGGCCATGTGAATAATGTATTGGCCATTAGTAGAGTATCACTCCCCAGAAGAACAAGAGAACTGGACCCTGTATCCCAACTTGTCATATCAAAATGTCCAGGAGCAGAATATCTGTATAGATTATCTGTCCCAGCAGCTGTTTACAAGGCGCTTCCAAAACCAGTTCTCTTTTCAGAATGGCAATGATAAACAAAGATCTTAATGTATTGTCAAAGGCTTTCATGGCCGGATCACTGGGTTGTTGTGAGTTTTTCGGGCTGTCTGGCCATGTTCCAGAAGCATTCTCCCCTGACGTTTCGCCTGCATCTATGGCAGGCATCCTCAGAGGTTGTGAGGTCTGTTGGAAACTAGGAAAATGGGGTTTATATATCTGTGGGATGTCCAGAGAAAGAACTCTTGTCTGTTGGAGCTAGGTGTGAATGTTGCAATTGGCCACCTTGATTAGCATTGAATGGCCTTGTAGTTTCAAGGTCTGGCTTCTTACTGGTAGGGGGAATCCTTTGTTGGGAGTTGATTAGCTGGCTCTGATTATTAAACATCATGATGCATATTCTGTCATGGTATTCCACCAAGTTCAAGGTCACTTCATAATCGACTACAGAACTGGACATTGATCTCATTGGGTGAATCTACACTTTAGAATTAATTGAGATTGACACCACCAAACTAGAGCTCTCAAAATGCCATATCATTGAGCCATGGTGGTTCAAGTAGTATCAAACTGCACTCATTCTACAGTATAGTTAAAGCATGGCATACTTTGGTCCTCTGAGTGTTTTGGACTACAACTCCCACAATTCCTAACAGAAAGCTGGCTGTTAGGAATTGTGGGAGTTGGAGTCCAAAACACCTGGAGGGCTAAAGTTTGCTTATGCTTGCTGTAGATGCACCCTTTGGGATAGGATGCAAGTCTAAACAGAGAGTTCCACTGCTGAACAGCTCTCACAGTTAGGAAGTTCTTCCTAATGTTCAGGAGGAATCTCTTTCCTTTCCTGTATGTCGTTTGAAGCCATTGTTCCACAGCAGAAAACAAGCTTGCTCCCTCCTCTCTATTACTTCTCCTCACAATAATTCATTATTATTATTATTATTATTATTATTATTATTATTATTATTACTAATAATTACTAACTAATAATTAGTAATAATAATAATTACTAATAATTACTACTACTAATAATAATACTATTATTACTACTACGTCCTTGCAGACGGACAATTCTCTCACACCAGAAGCGACTTGCAGTTTCTCAAGTTGCTCCTGACACCAAAAAACAAAAAAGCAACCTACTACTACTACTACTATCTGTCTTTCCTCTTTGGAATGAGACCCAAAGCAGCCACGCTGTGCCATAAACCCTCACTGCATTTCTTGACCTTTCTGCCAACATCTCAATTCAATTTCACTCTGTTTTGACCTCTCTGAGTGTCTTCCTTTTTCAATCACACGCCTGTCTTTAAAAAAGAAGGAAAGTCCTTTTACCTTGTGGAAGGATCCTTGTGGGTTAGTGGTCACCAAGCAGAGCATGTGGGCATATCTATCTAATGACCCGGGAGCTGCTTAAATACCTTCCAAAAGGAAGGTTATCTCGTGTGATTAACTTCCTCCAAGAGTCCCTTTGGGGACAGTTTCCAAGCCATGTGGGTGGAAAAGGCAAATCAGAAGGAGGAGGTTCTTCTGGAGGGATTTCTCAAGGCCAGATCAAGGTCCCCTTTTCTGTCAATGTCCCATAAAGATAGTTATGGGACAACTCTTTTTTTCTCTCTGTACAGTTTCTGTTGTCCCTTTCGTGAGAAAGTGCCCAGATGAGCTGGCAGCGACTATCCAAATATTTACCATCAGACTTCTCTCAGCCTTCCACTCTGCCTTGAACCTGAACTGGAAATGTCACCAACATTGTGTGCGTTGTTTCTTCCTTCGGCTTTTAAGAGGACGTGTCTCAGCAAACGGTTTGACCATGAATGTTTATGTATTCCCAATGGAATCTAAATCAGAGTTCCTCAGCCTGATATCCCTCCAGTTGTCAGGTGGCAACACCCATCAGAGGGCCTTCTCTGTGGTGGCCCCTCGGCTCTGGAACTCGCTCCCCAGATAAATTAGGCAAGCCCCCACCCTGGCAGTCTTCAGGAAGAGCCTAAAAACCTGGTGGTTCCGCTGTGCCTTCAATGAATGAACAACAATCCCTGACCTTGACCAAACCCTGCATAAGGCACCCTCGGATCAGAGGCGGCCCTAGGTAATTTTCAACGGTAAGCAAACAGTATTTTGGCCCCCCCCCCTCCAACCAATCATTGATATATATTTTCTGTTTGTCGTGGGAGTTCTGTGTGCCATATTTGGTTCAATTCCATCATTGGTGGAGTTCAGAATGCTCTTTGATTATAGGTGAACTATACATCCCAGTAACTACACTTGCCGCACTTGCTCCCTTGCCTGGCCCGCTTTGGGTCCGGAGGTGTGCCTGAAGACCCCGGCGTGTGCACCAAAAGTCACCTCTTCTCCTGACTTTCTCCTCAGCCATTGGGACCAGGAGAGAGAGAGAGAGAGAGGTGGAGATGCCCACCTTTCCTGAAGGTAGGCGCAAAAACTAAGGAGGAAGCGGAGGTGGGAGATACCTCCAGCCGGGGGGCTCTCTCTCTCTCTCTCTCTCTCTTGGTCCCAATGGCTGAAGAGAAAGTCAGGAGAAGAGGCGACTTTTGGTGCGCACGCTGGGGTCTTCAGACACGCCTCCGGACCCAAAGCGGGCCAGGCGCGGCGGCTCCGCCCCTTGGCCCACCCACGGATTGGGGAGAGGAGAGGAGGCGGGTGGAGCGCCAGGGGAATCGGAAAAGGGAGCCGGTCATGGGGAAGGGATCAAATGCGGAGAACGATTGAGCGCCGGCTCTGCTCGCGCACCCGGTGGCCAGGTGGAGCAGGAACAAGAGAGGCTAGGCGAGGCTCAAGGGCCCAGCCCCTTTGGGAAGAGGATCGCCGGGCAGCGAGGCAAGGAAGCTGAGGCTCCCCCCGGACTGCTAGGGCTGTTGTGAGCTGAGGGGGCACTCCTCAAGTGGCAGTCGAGGGGTATTTACAGAGGCGCCTCTGCACCCCTGGCAAAAAAAGTGTTCTGCGACCGCTTACTTTGCGTAATGGACGAGCCGCCCCTGCCTCGGATGCATATTATCTCACCCTCTAGTGCAATTAAACCCAATTGTTTCATCCCTCCTGAAACTCCCTCCAGATACACTGCATTGCTCATCTCAGCTGGAGTTTTAAACTTTTAATCTTTGTAACTGCCCTGCCCATTGTGTTCAATTATTGTGATTTTATATTACATTGTGTGTTTGCTTTGTTTTATTTTTATTTTTTGGTGATACTATTTTCATTATATTTTATTGATGTATTTTTATGTTGCATATCTGTTTTTCTGTAATTGTTGGGCCTGGTCTCATGTAAGCTGCCCCGAGTCCCCTTGGGGAGATGGTGGCAGGGTATAAATAAAGATTATTATTATTATTACTATTATTATTATTATTATTATTATTATCTGTAACTTGCATTGAGTGTACCATCTGGGGATAGAATCATAGAATGACAGAGTTGGAAGAGACCTCGTGGGCCATCCAGTCCAACTCCTTTCTGCCAAGAAGCAGGAAAATCACATTCAAAGCACCCCTGACAGAGGACCATGCAGCCTCTGCTTAAAAGCCTCCAAAGAAGAAGCCTCTACAACAGGACAAAGAGTTCCACTGCTGAACGGCTCTCACAGTCTGGAAGTTCTTCCTAATGTTCAGGTGGAATATCCTTTTCGGTAGTTTGAAATCATTGTTCCACCTGAACATGAGGAAGAACTTCCTGACTGTGAGAGCTGTTCAGCAGTGGAACTCTCTGCCCTGGACTGTGGTAGAGGCTTCTTCTTTGGAGGCTTTTAATCAGAGGCTGGATGGCCATCGGTTGAGGTGCCTTGAATGTGATTTTCCTGCTTCTTAGCAGAATGGGATTGGACTGGATGGCCTACAAGGTCTCTTCCAACTCTAGGATTCTATTATTCTTTCCCCAAATGGTACACTCAATGCAAATTGCAGGTGATGGGAGTTGCCACCTGACATAGCTGAAGGGATACCAGCATGGATTCTACAGTTCCCTGCAAAGTTAATTTTACCTTTTCAATGCTAATAACCTGATCTTCCCTCTCATTACATCTCAAGGAAATAGTGCAGCTGGTGCACTAGTTTTGATTATGCAAAATGCACATTTGGACACAGCCAACACTTTGCATCCAGACTGGCATCCAAAGCTGCAAACGTGAGATTTCACACAGTCATCAAGTTGGAAGAAAAATACTGCAAATCTCTTGGGAAGACAAGCGGACAAATGTCAGCGTGCTGGAAGAAGCAAAGACCATCACCATTGAAGCGATGGTCCTCCGCCATCAACTCCGCTGGACTGGCCATGTTGTCCAGATGCCCGACCACAGTTTGAGGACCGGGACATCCTCAGGGATACCAAAGTGCTTGTTTATAAACTATTGTCCTCCCAACCCTGCTATACGCTTGCGAGACGTGGACAGTCTGCAGATATCACATGCAACTCCTGGAACGATTCCATCAGCGCTGCCTCCGGAAAATCCTGCAAATCTCTTGGGAAGACAAGCGGACAAATGTCAGCGTGCTCGAAGAAGCAAAGACCACCAGCATTGAAGCGATGGTCCTCCATCAACTCCGCTGGACTAGCCACGTTGTCCGGATGCCCGACCACCGTCTCCCAAAGCAGTTGCTCTACTCCGAACTCAAGAACGGAAAACGGAATGTTGGCGGGCAGGAAAAGAGATTGAAAGATGGGCTCAAAGCCAACCTTAAAAACTCTGGCATAGACACTCAGAACTGGGAAGCCCTGGCCCTTGAGCACTCCAATTGGAGGTCAGCTGTGACCAGCAGTGCTGTAGAATTTGAAGAGGCACGAATGAAGGGCAAAAGAGAGAAAGGAAGGCACGTCAAGCCAATCCCAACCGGGACGGCCTTCCACCTGGAAACTGTGGGAGAAGATGCTGATCAAGAATAGGGCTCCACAGTCCCCTACAGACCCACCACCAGAACACCGAACTTGGAGGATCATCATCCTCAGACTACGAGGGATCGCCTAAGTAAGTAAGTTGGAAGAGACCTCAAGGCACATTCAGTCCAACCCCATTTCACCATGTAGAAAGCACCCCTGACAGATCCAATCTCTGCTTGAAAACTTCCAGAGAAGGAGATACCACCACATTTCAAAGCAGCGTATTCCATTGTCTTACCATGAGGAAGATCTTCCTAAAGGTCTCCCTAAGATGCTCCTCCGAGGATTAGGCATCCAGACCTTTGACCATTTCCATCACCCTTCTCTAGACGCCTTCCAGCTTGTTGATATCCTTCCAGCTTGTTATTATGGGGTGAAAACTTGCAATGATTTGCATCAATCCTCTTTAGAGATTAGCAATCGTCTTCTGTGTTGCAGTAGATAGCGATGCAGTTCGGGAGCAAAAACTTGAAAGGAGAGGAACCCAAGAACTCCTTGTTGGATAGCTTTACGATGGGTCCCTATCCAAAATGCTTCTTGGTCATAGATGGAAACCTCTAATAGACCCTTGTCGTTGGCTCCTGTGGTCTTTATAAGCAATCTAAGGTACGAAAGGTCTCTTAAACATTGGCTATGTTGGCATGTTTCACAATCTTGCCCTGCCTTGGGATGTTGCATCATTTTGTTGGATACGGCTCACCTAGGAGAGATTATTCCTGGACGAACAAAGAGAGGCCGTAGCTGAGATCCAAACCATATCAGTATGGTTTCCTGTTCACGATGTATTGTTGGCCAATTGGAGGACTCATTGCCTGGTGACATCTTCACGTGAGTACAATAATTTAACGAGTGTGTTGTCAAAGGTTTTTATGGCCAGAATCACTAGGTTGCTGTAATGATTTTTTGGCTATATGGCTGTGTTCCAGTTGCATTCTCTCCTGATGTTTCGCCTGCATCTGTGGCTAATGGCATCTTCAGAGGTTATGTTGGCAGTGAGGCAAGTGGAGTGTATACATAATGTCCAAGGTGGGGAAAAGATCCCTTGTCCATTGAAAGAAAGTGTGAATTGTGTAATTTGTTGTTCAATCATTCAGTCATTTCTGACTCTTCGTGGCCTCATGGACCAGCCCACGCCAGAGCTCCCTGTTGGCCTTCACCACCCCCAGCTCAATCCAGTCACTTCAAGGATCCCATCCATCCATCTTGCCCTTGGTCAGCCCCTCTCCCTTTTTCCTTCCATTTTCCCCAGCATTGTGTAATTAGTAAGCTTGAATTAGCATTTGAATAGCCATGAATTTGAATGCATTTGAATTTGGGAGTCACCTCACTACCTCTGAGGATGCTTGCCATAGATGCAGGCGAAACGTCAGGAGAAACGCTTCTAGAACATGGCTATAGCCCAAAAAAACCCACAAGAACCTAGCCATGAAGTTTGTAAAGTCAATCAGCGAGGGCATCTGCAAAGAGGTAGCCTGGTGTTTGTTGCCTGGAGGCATCCTCCGTTTGGGAGTTTGGGAGGTGTTAGCTGGTATTTGATTGCTTGTTGTCTGG